CTCCCGGAAAGATATTAGTTCCAATATCTTATTGATTTCATTTACCTTTGACGAGTTTAGATCTAAACGTTACAATGATCATTTCATAACTCTGTATGTCTAAATTCTCTACCGATAGAAATACACTACAAGTGATTCACTACTTTCTTTTCAGACTCCTGAAAACTGAGTCATTAGGTGACGCATAACATGTACAAATGTCTGATTCGCCGCACCTCCGCTTTCCACACAATTGACCCAAATTATCGTGGCACAAAAGGAGAATTCCACAATGAAAAACTGATCATGTTTTATTTAAATGTTCTCATAATTGAGCACTTTCGAGTAACTCATAGATACATGTTGAATGGTATTTGCACACATTTCTAGGTCTACTGATATCCTGGCAGTACCAGCACATTTCTCCATGCACTACATCCGCCATTCTCTCGCAGACAAGGAGCCAGATGGATCCCCCGCAATTACGATCCCGTATTGCTGGCGCATGCTTTGTTTCACACAATGTTTGATCACACTCCATACACCTTCAATTGGGTTTACTGTTGGAGAATAAAGCGCAAGGCGCAGCAATATGGCACCGGAATATGCAGGCTTATCAAGCACCGCCTCCAAGCCGAAATGACAAGGTGCGCTATCTCATACAACCGCCGCATTCCTGCGGACAAACTCCGGTAGATCATTTAGAACGGTCCGCAGACACGACTGACAATTTTCTTTTGTAAAGGAGCCGCGCTCCAACGTATAATTTATCAATCCGTATTTTGAGACGGCACCAATTATATGCAGGTTTCTTCCTCTGCTGTTGGAAACCGTGCAACCTGCCCTCTGTCCCCGCATAGCATGTCCACGACTCCGATTAAAAAACAGGTTCAAATTTGCTGGAAGAAAATGTAATCACTGAGGGCACAAACTTACTCTCATTTATCCATACAACGTTCTTATTCACCGTTTCGTATTGCTGTATGCTTTGAACGAATAGCTTCCGCTTCATTTTGTTTTCCTCCAAATTCATTGTTTTGCACATAGAGTGCACTTTCTTCATGATAATAAGTCAGCCGTTCAGGTAGTTGCCAATCTTGCTGCAACAAACCTCTCTGTCGTATTCGTCCTTCAATTTCAATCGTAGCGTTTCTAAACAAAGTGTGCAATCTTCGTTGGTCCACTCAATCAGTTGATCCACTTCAGCCTCACACAAACTGTGTCTCCGAGCTCCACCGTGAACTCCAGCAAGTACCCAAAGGTTAGCTGTACGCTGGTGCATACCAAAAGCGGCAGCAACGCTCTTCAGTCCTCATCCTTGCCCAAGGTTGTTAAAACTCGCTGACGGATGTCCTTTGGATAGGACTTCCGTGATGAATGGTCAGTCATTACGAAACGTACTATACGTGTCCTCAGTGAAATGACAAAAGTTGTAGTCTGCAAACTGCACACTAAAATGATGTGTATTTGTGACAAAATGATGTCTACCTTGGCCGTGGATCATGCATAGGTGCCAGAGGATCAAGACAAAACGTGAGTGGTTGATGGGTAGGCGGAGTTGATGCATTTCAGACCCTTAGGTATACAATAAATGGTAAAGATATTGCGATGTATATACACGATATATACACGAACGTTCCGCTCATGGAAACGGTTGATTTCATTTGTAACTACATCGAAGAAAACGAAATCGATATGAGTTACGGTAGAAAACTGAAAGAACTGCTCCTGAAATACACTTTCAATGTCCAGTTTCTGTTCAATGGAAAACTGTATCGTCAAAAGGAAGATGTCGCTATGGGCTCTCCACTAGGACTGATATTAGCAGATGTGTTCATGGCCAAACTGGAGAACTCAGTCGTAGAATCCGAAATTTGAAAGATGAAATTCTATAAACGATATGTTGATGATATATTTTGCATAACTAACAAAGAAAGCGACCTAACCCTCATCACGCGAACGTTTAACAAGACTCACAAGTCCATAAGGTTCACCCTGGAGGCAGAGAAAAATAACAAACTAGCATTCATTGACGTAACTCTGCACAGGACAACTGGTTCACTACTTGAATGAAGGATGTACAGAAAAGAAATGTGGACCGGACAGTACATTAACTTTCTCAGTTTCGTGCTGCAGTGTCTTGTCTCACGTGCACGAAAGATATACTCCGAATCCACGTTCGCAGATGAACTTGATCAGATTAAAAACATTCTAAGGGAAAACGCATACCCTGAAAGGTTCATCGAGAAAAGCTTAGTAGAAAAAAATGAAACACGAGTCTGTTCAGGAAGCTCCGAAGAGGCAACCGTTTATTAAACTGCCATTCAAAGGAGACGACCCGTCTGATCCGAGTAGGGGACGTTAAGCGCTTGCTGTGAGAGTAACCTTTAATACCGCCAGGTTGTCATGCGTATTCACTGGCTCACCGATAATAAGAACACCCAATAAAAACAGTCTACCTATGCTGGCCTCATCTATGTTTATAAATTCCTTCAGCTGCGTTTATAACGTAACCTACATTGGCTGAACGGTTAGACAGCTGTCTCAGTGGATTAAAGAGCACTGCCCACGCTGGCTTCAACACGATGGAAAAGGTGTCATAGGAAGAGCTATCCTCGCTCACCTAGCAGACTCAGGTCACCAAGTGAAACCCGAATCAGCCTTCAAAGTCATCTATCGAATACCACCTCACCCATCGAAGTCGCTGCGTCTCCACTCCCTAGCCGCTGCAAAAGCGATTGGTATTCGTTTATTCAAACCCAATCTATGCGCCCCGAAGAGATTGGCCCATGCTATTCAACTACTGTGGCCGAAGATCGATCACACGGATGACGCATCACAGTTTGATTGCAGTATTGTGTTGATCTAGGGGCATGAAACACGTCGCATCCCCCCACTCACCCCTACCTCATTCCTCTCGCTTTCACTCAATCACGGTAACTTTTGAATGACTGAATGATTATCCCCGTTCAAAATGCCATTTTCCTATTTGATCTGTACTGGTCAGAAGATGAATCAATGAAAAGAATTCTTCGCCTCTAAATTCCTGTTCTCATGTTAAAATGGGCATATTCTGAAATGTAAAGATATCCCATGGTTAGTGAGGTGTGTATGAACAAGGTATGTTTCACAGCCGTATACCTCGCTCTTCAGCTGTAGGTTGAGAAATCTGTACCACATAGTGACATCGCTAGGAGCCTTGAACAGTACGTGCATCTATGACAACCGACGAGGTCAACGAAACAATTTGAGGCTATGCTTAATGTAGAAGATACACGAACGACTTGATACTTAGTTGATAACCGGCTTCATGTCGCTCTAGCGTCATGGTAAATTCAGAGCTCTGACTGGACGCAGAAGGTGGGGGTGATCCAACGGAATCGCGATCGCTTCGGCTGTTGACAGTAAGCGATGTTTGACTTGCTTCGAACTCACCCTGGTGATCGTGTAGATAGGCCTGACCGCTTTACTCATTCCGACACGATGTTCCGACCAAATGAGTCGTGATTGCCATACCCCCGTCCTCTTCAATCCGCGACTAAGCCAATTGGGGTGGTGTTCTCGAATACCTTCTCTTGCGATTATCTATCAACATCTAGGCAGCTTCTTATTCGGAACCTATCCTCCTCCTCTTCTGGCCCGAAAACCACACGACCGATTGGGTTCACTTATCGATCAGTTGGATGGTTCGGCCGCAACAAAGGACATGGCCTTGGCTCAACTAAACCGAGCGAGAACCCACACCTTGTCCACAGCCGTGAGTCCTAGGTTGGCCCAGTGAAATTCGACTGTGCAGTAGGAGTGCCATCAACACACGGATGGACTGGACGTGACAGCAAAAGCATTAGAAAACGTACAACCTGGTAATCAGATAGTCTGGTGTTGGAGTGAGACATTTTAAGTGACACAGATCGCGGAATATAATCAGATTACAGAAAGGGTAAGAAAGAATGTACTTGTCCAAGGTCACGGATGAAAGGGATGAGACGATGGAGCAATCGCACTGTATTGCAACATCATGCGATGGAGCAGGGTAATGACTCTAGCGTTGATCGCCGATGCTTCACTGGTATCAGCGGAGGGGGACAAACACACAATCACACATACAGAGTCGTACACGTACTAGCAAGATAAACAACCGATATGCATTTCATGGGAATCGAGTTGTATGTGTGTGTGATGAAAGCTAGTCCCACAATCGTCCCCAGTGCTTCAAAGGGAGGTAGAAAAATTGGTGCTGCATGGTGATCATCCAGAGATCGCTGAGAGGCTTGTCAACACTGATGAGGTCAATGCGACAGCTTGAAATTATACTGGGACAACTTGAAATAATGATCTGCCAACTTGAAACGATTGCCGGACATCTTGATATGATGTTGGGACGACTTGACTTGTAAAAGGTACAGTTGCTTCACCTTTCAAACCCCATCTGACAATAGAATTATTGGCACATGAAACATTTTTTAATGACTCGACCAATGAAAGGGACCTAGTAGAATCTAATCCTCTCTACCTTTTTTCAAACCCCGATCAATTTCTTTGAACACGTCATAATCTTTACTGGTGTACAGGTGTAAACTCGGAAAAAGGGTAAGGATAAATGAAAAGGTACACATCATCACTCTGAGGAATAATAAGTTCATTGCACCGAAAATTAAATAACCAGTTCCATGGGGAAAAAGGTACTTTCTTTGCTTCGGAATCCTAATAATGGAGTGACGCAACAAGAGCTAAAAGTCTTCACTATTCCGCTTTCCTCGACTAATTCGAAGTAAATGGTATTTTCTTTGGAGAAAGAAAAACCGGAATGATTGTGCCTTCTGATGAAGTCATTTGATACAATGGTGAAATGAATCCATGCTATACATATAAAGAATCGCTTATGCAACAGGACACAACGACAATAAATCTGTAGGCCTATTGGATCAAATGTTGAGACATTACCGGAGTCGATTTGACCATCATCCATCCATCCATTTCATTATTCAAAGCCCCAATCATTGAAGGAAGCATTGAATTTTAAATCACGGATGAAGTGAAATAAATATCGATAATTTATTCTTTCTTGACACTAAGAATTATAATAAAATTTATAGATGATAAAGGTGATAAGGATGATCATGATGATTGGGATCAGGGTTATTATGATGACGGTGATCATGATGATGAAAATGATGAGGAGGTGAAGGAGGAAACGATGATGTTGACGATGCTGAGGAGGATCATGAGGACGACGACAAGAAAAACTACATACCGCGCTTTACCGATCTCTTTATCAATTAGCAACGAGATAAACCAAATTGCATAACATTTTAGGTACATAATGTGCCTTTACTTTTCCTATCACGTAAAACAAAAATTGCACGTATTCCAGCCAAAGTTTCAATCGATTCCTCCATATACTACCTATGCTAAAGACTTTCAGCACCCATATTTCCTTCCAGTTTTGCGTAATTTAACTGTTCTAGGATAAAATCGATGCGGTCCATATTATTATTCACACTCGGTTTTCAAATATAAGTCATTTACTTCTCTCTAAAACATATTTGGGATGACTAGTTTCTTGAATCAATATTTCCGTCAATCAAACTCGATCACTGTCTCACTTCTCACGATGCTCCTGATCAGGCGCTGATGAGCGTTTCTCAGCGATTGATCCCTCCTGCTGTTCAATCTGTTTGCTTTTGATAATGCGTATCAGCAAAAGAAAGCGGGTCTGTGTAGACTGCATGACGCCCATATAGTTTCCCCTCGGTGAACTATTCAAACACACTTGTGAGCAACTTGTTTCCCTGTTATCATTTGGCTACATTCAAATTATTTCTTCCTCTGAATTGTTCACTTACAGGTTTGATCGATTTAGGGTTATGCCTGTTAATAGTTATCACCAGAACCAATATTCAAGTGTCCCCATTGTTTCTAGTTCATCATCAATGCTACTGACGTGGTATCACCACGGATGATCGATTGTCCGTTTCAATTCAAACATGACAAGTTTCTTCCTGTCATTTTGTTCTCCTTTCTGGCGAGAACATTCCACGTGATACAGGCATTCAATAATGGGGATCACTTATGTTTACTATAAGAAATACGCTGTTTTCCAAAATGTTTCACAGAAAGTTGATTGGTAAGTAACCAAACAACAGTTATAAATATCGGTAACTGAGGGATTAAATGCACAGAAAATGAATAAAAATTCAAATCCTGCGGATCAGTGATCACCAATTTTCAAGTGATGTCGGTATCTATGGCATCGATATGTTTTTAGACTGTTGATTATCT